TGTAATTATGAATTTTAATCGAACACGCGTGTTTGTTGCACATAAAAAATTTCTTAAATTTTTTTTGAAACAATTCGTTAAGCTGTGTTGAGTTTGAGGAGGAATTTTGTGATTGGTATTGCCATACGGTGAAATTTCGACATCGGTATCTTTTTCTGTAAATCTCTTCAGATAGTTGAGATTAGACGATTTTAAACAAAATATTGAATCGGTGTTATCTGCTTAACATCTACCTTAACCTCAGCCGTTCTATAATGTTTATGTTAACATCAAGCAAAACTTGTCCTTATGTTGGATCACAATCTTGTAACAGCTTACATATTTCATTTGCTAATTTGAATACGGCAGCCAGTTACCTTAAATTCAACAAAAAATTTATTTTCTAAATTCCTCATACTTTTCAAAATAATAGGTGTTTTTTCAATGAAGTTTTTAAGCGGATTTGGCACTGACTTTCGACTAAAGTTTACAAATAGTTTGAATTGATTTTTTGCATTTAGTTATTTAAATAGGATTCAGGCATTGCGCCAACCACCGTTGAATCCATAGTGCCAAATCCGCGACGATCTTGCTTCTCAAGCCGTTGAGCCACCTGTGAGTAGGGTGCGGTAAAATTTTCTATATTTACAAGCCTTCCCATGTTATGGATTAAACGTTTTATTACGATGCCGGGGGGCTGTTCTTGGTGTGTTTGGTTGTTTCTGGTAATCAAATGATATTCCAAGAATGTACGTTTTGAATGTTGACACCTGATCTACAGGGCAAAAATTTACCTGCTTCGTAAGGTAAGTTAGCAAGGTTATTCACACCATTGCTGCGGTACTATCAGGCAGATTGAGGCTTTTACTCCGGGTTGTTCCAGTGGGCCCTCTGGCCGACTAGAAGCAAGGGTACGCTGCATTGTTGCTGTGTGATTCGGTATAATGACCATCATTCGTTTTAACATGGTCGCAGAATCGGTTTAAAGAAACTTCCTAGAATATGGCGATGAGTTGAAGTAGCCTACAT